ACCTTTAAAAATATAATAAAACTATGACAAAAATGTCAGCTTTCAAAATATACCAGTTAACATGGCTACACCTTAAAATGTTTTTGGCAAAATGTAACAAATGCAGTATAATTAAAACAAACAACACACAATATAGGATACGACTAGAAACCATAGGCAGATGCATTAGAGTCTTCTAATATTGCAGTGGATGTTGAGCATAGCTCTGATTTGAAGGTTGTTTCTAATTCTCTTAAGGATTGCTTAATTGCCTAACATTCTTCCACATTCTGAGTATATAAGCACAAAAAAGACTAATGCAAGCATGTTTTTTGTTCTGTTTTAATCCTTGTAAACTTGTGTTGTATTCTTGAAACACTCTACACATCTTGAAGGGGAAACAACCAGGAAAAAGGAAATGAGAATGTGAAAAAAAATATGCAGGAATATCCTTAAGTTGATAGGAAATCAAATCTTTAATTTTGGCATCAAATGCTTTGGTCATACCATACTGACACTGTGATCCAGGGTGCTTTGTTCTAAACACCCGGTTAAGAAAGGTAGGCTTGTTGTAGTTTTCTATTTTAAGTTCCAACATACAGTTCACTCTCTCCCCAAAGGGGAGATAGAGAAAGAGAGAGAGAAAGGTGGTTTGCTTTTTTTTCATTTTTAATAATATGGATTAATCTATAAGTCTACAGGAGCAAGAGAACTTGGAGAGGTGCCAATTCAGCCTTTTAGTGTACATGTTCTGCAGCAAAGTTGCTGAAGTACTTTTCGTTGACAAAGATTGTTCTTTTTCACTAGCATACAGAAGCCTCCTTCGGCCCAAGATTCTTCCGTTGCTTCCAGAGGTCAAAGAGAGTGAAGAGAGGTTGGAGTTTTAAACAGCATGGTATCAAGTGAAGGAAGATTTAATTTGTCAGACAGGCAAATTTGATGGAAGAGACCATTCAGGAGCAGGTAGCAGGTAACAAATAGGAAATTGTGTTTTCATCAAAGGGAGTTTCAGTCACAACAGCATTTGTTTTCAGGAAGAAATATTGTGTTCCAGGAAGGAGTGATTTGTATCCATTCATGAAAGGAGGGGGGGAAAGACCAGAAAGAAAAATATTAGAAAACAGTGAAAAATACAGTGGAAGGTATTTATTGAGTATTATGAATACTGTTGAATAAACAGCCACATCCCAAGAATATTTACTGAAAATTGTACTGAATAGTGGGTGGTATTCAACCAAGTTTCATTTAGTTCATTTAGTTTCATTTACACTGGACCTAACTTAATCATGCTCTTTAATTTCAACTGGCCTACCCTGAGTAAAGCTTAGTTGAATATCACCCATTAATCCTGTTCCTAAACCTTTCTACTCCAAAAATAAGTGTTTATGGTTAGGAAACAACCAGTGACAATCAAAAGCTTTTATGGGCCTGTTCACTTGTTACTTTCTGGAGAAATCTTAATCTGGTCTGGGCCTTAGGTGTGGTCTACAACCCCCCCCCTTACCTGCCTCCCACAATATGAGTAAAAAGTAATGAGTGAACTGTATTGTACTGGCCATAAAGTCTCTGGAAATAATGAACGTTTTCACTCAGATTGTAATGGAAATCCCATTATTAAAACAAATGTGTTGCACCTTAGTTCACTTTTTATTATCTCTCTCCAGTGCATATAGTGTTGAGATTTCTCCCTGGACAGTAAGAAGCAAACAGGAACTATGACAGTATTTCTATTGTAAATTGTAAATCATAGATCAAAGTATGGCTGAAGTTCTCGATTCTCTCATCTATCTGTCAAATGTTAGCTGGTGTTCTCTCAATGAAGCTTGCTCCACACTTGCAAACTTTGGCAGATTTGGAGAATATTAAGCGCATCTCTCTAATGCTCACCCAGTTAAATTAACATTACAGTATATCAGTGCTGCTTAGTTTCAGCAGTTTTATGCCTTGTGTATGAGTGGGGAAAAGAGTTTAGAATTTCTTGTGACAAAGTATCAAAAAATGAGCTATAGAATGTGAGAAAGTGCAAATCATACTTAAAAGTAATCCATCCTTGAAAAATAAAAGGTCTTCACAGGAGTTTTATTTTCTTAAAGCTCAGCATTAGTGGCAATCAATATGAAGTACAGTGGTACCTCGGGTTAAGTACTTAATTTGTTCCAGAGGTCCGTTCTTAACCTGAAACTGTTCTTAACCTGAAGCACCACTTTAGCTAATGGAGCCTCCCGCTGCCACCGCCGTGCAATTTCTGTTCTCATCCTGAAGCAAAGTTCTTAACCTGAAGCACTATTTCTGGGTTAGCGGAGTCTGTAACCTGAAGCGTATGTAACCCGAGGTACTACTGTATGTAGAACAGAAACCTACTTTCAGTAATGCTTCCATGTGTTGTTACGAAGGTTGCAAGCTGTCTATTGCAGGTGGCTGGCACAACTTTAAGTCAAAATACTTTGCACAAAAAAGGTTCACAAGCTAAAGCCTAGTTTCATTTACATATTTAGTATTTATATTCTGCTCTTCCAGAAGAGCTTATAAAAATATGGAAACATTAATATGGAAATTCATGAACATGACTAAGAGCTTTTTAAAACCAAACACAACACTAAAATATATCATAGCCCAATGCAGGGCTTTTCCCCCAGCCAGAACAACTCAGGGGGCACCACTGTCATCATTGGAGAACAAGGGAAGCATTCATGGTGAGTTCTGGCACCTACTTTTCTAGAAAAACAGCACTGACCAAATCTCAGTTTATCAGTAATTTTTAGAGTGGTGTATGTTTGTTCTATTCACATCATTCACAAACGACCCATTTAGACTGTCTAAATATACTAATTATATCCAAATATAGGGTATCTGCATTGATGCATTGTAAGGTTACTCACTCTGATCCTAGCGAAAAAGATTAAAATTAGCTGAACAATAGTTTTAACATTTTGCCCCCAAAGATCACAGGAACTGGAGAAAAAGGATGACTCTTTGAGTAAAGTGTGAAGTGGCTCTAAGAGCATCTAAGGGAAGGGGAAGGCAGAATGTAAGGTAGAATCTGGAAAGGTGAAATTTTCAGTTTGGAGGAAATTGTCACTGGATACAAATCATGAAATGGGAGAAAACACATGGGAAGGGGAGTGGAGCCATCAGAGCTAGAAGGGAAAGTTGCCAGCAGGTGTCCCACAGCCCCACAGTAGAGGATAAGGGGATGTTGGTAAGACACAAAAGCAGCTGGTTCACAGAAACGGGGAACAAGAAGCAGGTGATTGTGGGTGAAAGGCTTGGGTATCTGAAGACAAGGGGCAATCCACACACGAGCCACCATTAAAATATGTTATTCTGTCATGCCAATCAGATGAGGCTTCCTTAGTAATCTAGGAAATCTAGTAAGCTGGCACTGTTTGTCAAACGGCTTTAGAGTTCCCATGGAGCTTTTCTCCCCTAATCAAAAGGAATAGCAAAACTGCGGTGAACTTAACAGAATCCACAGGAATGGGCTGCTCCATTGTGCAACTTTGTTCCAACACACTTTACTTTGAATGCTGATAAAGTCAACTAGAATGGACATAGTTTACAGGAACCAGTACTTTTTCTACTACTATAAGCTTAGTCTTCAGTAAACATTTGATTAAGATTTCTGGGTTGTGCATCACAGCACAGTCTAAAAAGTGTGAAATATGTGAAAGGAGGCACAATTTGCTTGCTTTTCTCAGATGGCTTGTTTTTGTCTTATACACTATCTTTGCACAAGGGATTGAGGCCTTGAAGAAAGTAGCACAGGGAGTTGACGGAATAAGGATACCCATTTAGCAAAAAGTAATATTTTAAATAGTATGCGGAATTCTATCCTCTAGCCCTTGTTGTCTTCTGAAATCTGTCCTTCAATTTTTAGACTAGTGCAGAAATATATACTGGAATTTGGATGGACCCTCACAACCAAACATATATAGTTGTCCAGCATTATCCCAGCTAAGATCTCCAAATGTGTTTTGAGAAGCACATTTGTATTTTGGGGGAAAAACATTTCACTCAATGAATGATAGTTTACTCATAAACAGTCTTTGGGTAAAAAACACATTCTTAAATTAAAATCGATAATAAAGGGATAGCAGGCACTATGTAGATGATGACACTCAGAAATGTCAGTAATCACATTTTCATAACTTATTTTTCTACTGTATTGCAGTAAAAATAGACACAGGGCACCTATAATTTAATGGACGAATATATAGAAAAATGTACAAAATATTTGTACAATAGTATGCCCAGAGTGTGGTTTATTAATTCGAGCAAATGTGCATTTCTCAGAAAACATATCAGTCCCCGCAGTCCCCATTTCCCACTTGTTACCCCCTTATATAGCTCCCTTTAAGACTCCAAAAATTAAAAATAACATTCAGCCTCTCCCATATGAACATTTACTATTTTATGGAATGTTGTTCATGGATTCTGCTTCTTGTTTTGTGAATCGTGGCATTTAAAGAGATAAATAAAAATAGATTATTACTTTAGGATACAATCCTGTAGTTCCAGGGCCAATAAGAATAGATCCCATTGGAATGACCGGAAGGGGAAATGAGGGAGGCACCCAAGAAACAATGGGAGAGCTTTGGTGATTCTTCTGCCTCAGATTCTCCCTCTTCCACCCTGTAGAATTGTTGTTTCAGTGGAAGGGCAAGGCAAACAACAACAAAGTGTGTGTGATGTGGTTTCACTTTTTTTGCTGGCTGGTGTGAGCCCAGCAAGGCTCAGTTCCTCTGCTGCAGAATATCCCTACCACCCAGACTGCTTTTAGTTTATAATATTGCTAAATATTTGTAAACAGCTGCCAAAGTTATGAAAAACATAAAACATAAAAAACATTAAAAAGTTATGAAAAACAGCTGCCAAAGTTACAAATGAAAAAAATAAATAGTAGCACATGCATTCTATTCTTGTGAATTGAAAACCATAATTAATTGAGTCTACTACGTCTATGTAATATGAAACAGATGTGAAGAATCTGGAAAAAGACAGAAACAGGTAAAATTACTTACCATCTTTACAGACTAGACCAACTGTGCAGAGACCTGTTTCTAAGATATAGCCATTTGGACAACTTGTACAGTTTTTCTCTCCTGGACCACTGCACCCAAAACAGCTGGCATCACATCTTAATGAAAAGACAGTAGGTTAAATATATGGTTAATCACATTGTCTCAGTATTAAAAACTGTTTGATTCCTTCATTTCATATCAAGAGGTGCTGAAGCTAAGTACAGAAAGTGGAATATGTCACAAATATGACAAATAAATAATGTGTATATAGGTGAAAGAACCCCAAGGCGCTTTAAAAGTGGAAAGGAATTTCATGGGCCCATTGCAAGACAGATGGATGGAATAAAATAATAAGCATTTATATAGCTCTTGTGGATGTTCAAAACACTTTATATACATTATCTTGTGAAACAATTGTGAAAGATAGAAGACGGAAAATAGTGGGTGGGTAGAAGAGAGATAAATAGTTGGGAAATTCTTCTCCAAAGGAGAATAGCATAAGACTGCTGAGCGCTGGAGCCAGATGAGTAAGTTTCCTGAAGTCTAGTAGTTTACTACAGTCAACCTATAGTGCTGACTGCTGAAGTCTCCTTCAGTGAAAAGCTAGCATTAATTTGGCTATGGAGAAAAAAAGTCTTCATTTCTTCCAAAGCACTGCCAGCTCTTTTTTTCTATCCCTGGACATGAATGTGATGCATAAAACTTATCTTCTAGCACATAATCAAATCTTACAAATAGAGGAATTACACAAAGAACTCACAAGAAAAGAAAGTATTAAATTTATGTCTGAAGGTTTTGCTTGATTTTCATACTTCACTAAATAATAGTATCATACGACAGAACTATATTCTCCAATTAGTTATGGTTTACATATTAAATAGATGCATTTGGTTTTTGAGGAATACTTTTTACCTTTTGCAAGTTTTGTATCCATTTTCTAGCGAGTGATCAAAGTAGTAGCCATTGTTACAGGCCAGCACACACCTCCCATTCTCCATAAGATACTCTTCGGTGCAGTTTATGCAGGCGTCTGCTCCTGGACCTCAGAAGTCAACAGAACAAGGTAACATATGGACAAATTTGCAGCAGAGCATAGAGACAATGGATGTGTATTATACTACAGTGGCGTAGCGTGGGTTGTCAGCACCCGGGGCAAGGCAAGTAATTTGCGCCCCCTAACCCGGTGCGGCCGGCCCCCTCTGCACCCCCCACGCTACGCCACTGTTATACTATGCACATAGAAGTATGAATGACTACTGAAAATACATTGAATTTTGGACTGTGTACTTAATGAAAAGTTATTTCAAAAAGACTTAAAAAATGAAGTCAGGTATAAGTACAGAAAGGTCCTAGCACCGGAAGAAGTGCTATAGTGTAGCTAATAGCCTACAAAAAATGCCCCCCCGCCCTTTTATCGCAGAAGGGATTGAACATTGATGAAAAGATATCAGAGGTACCTGCACAAGAAGCACAGGAATGGTGGCATGGCTCACAGTCCCTGCCATTGTAGTATTTTCCTGTTTCGCAGCGGATGACACACCTGGATCCTTGTAAACTACAGAGATACACAAGCAGAATTAGAAAATGCTGATCAGCATGTGGCACTTCTGTATGGATTTTTTTGGCAATAGTTAACATATTGTTACTGTTCAAACAAATGCATCTACTCTGAGGAACACTTGTGTTCAGTACCACGCCATGAGTACAGGGTCAGTCTGGTGAAATGACTTGCTTACAGAGGCTTTCTGCAAGCAAGTCTTTCTCCGCTCCTGCACTTATACCATGAACGAGTAGCAGGCTAGTGCTGCACTCTGCTGAATTTTGTTCTGCCTCTCCTGGCACCAGCAGCAACAGATTACAGGCCTTGCATTAACGTGATGTGTAAACCCAAACAAGCCATGATTGGAAAGACAAGAACAAACTTTGGCTTACCACTGAAGTTTGTTTAGAGAGAAACAAACCACAACTTTTGGTTGGCTCATTATGGGAATCAAGGCTCCTGGTTAGGAAGGGTAGAATGAAACAGGATCAAGTCAAGAGCATGTGCTACCATGCTGCTCATTCACAGGAAGCCATTATTTATGGCCCACTTTGACCTGCAAATGCAGGCACTGTATATGAAACGGACCACAGCTTTCATTTTCCTCAGCTTTTCATTTTTTTTATTCCGTGTTGGCCATGATTACACATATAATGAATATTACACTTCAGCAGATTGTAACGTGAAGGTTAAATAATATTATTTAACTTTCCTTGCTACCATGTTCAATACAATCTATCATTTCCTTACCTTAGGCCATGTCTGCATTCTGTGCAGGTTTGAAATTCAGTGCATGTCTTACAGTTTTCACTGCATTTACGGCATACAATCTTATCTGAAAAGAAAAAGGAACACAACGAAAAGAACCCAGTTCAATTACATGCAATAATATATTTTTGTCTCCTTGCTTATTGCTATTCCTAATGTGATACCACAAATAGGAGCTGAATAAAATATACTGTATTGGCCCGAATATAAGCCACACCTGAATATAAGCAGCACCTTTAAAATTCAAGGGGGGGGGGAAGGAAAAAAAAGACAATACACGAATATAGGCAGTTCCCTTAAAATTCCACAGACACTCACGCCCCTTCCATTTTACCGTATGTTTGTTTCAGCAGCGATATCATAAAAGCCAGTTTTTGTAAGGTTGCAAATTTAAGCTGCACTTTTACTTTTCACGGTGAGAATTTGGGGAAAAAGTGAGGCTTATATTCAGGCCAATACAGTAATATTCTGTGCTGCTGAAGTACTAACATTCAAATAATTTCTATTATCTGATTATATAAATGATTTTAATACATGGGGTCAATTCTGTAAACTTTTCCTCATTGAGTTGTAGTAAACCTTTTCAGTAATGCCAAAAGATTAACAAGCTACATTTATAAAAAACAAAAAACATTAGACTTTATTTCCTGTTCTTCCATAGCACATAACCAATGGGTCTTGTAGAAATAAACTTCTTGTATACTTATCCATGTAATAATTTTTATTATTATTAAAAATATGTACATGATGCTGTACAGAATTAAAGTGTAGATTGTAGACATTCATTATCACGGGGAACTTTCTTGTGTGTGTAAAAGCTCCTATATTCTGAGTAGTTGGCATCAGTGCTGCAGACATAAAGATAACCACCCTGACTGAGGAACTAAAATCAGTATGTTTTACAAAAACAGTATGAAAAAGAAGAGAAACAATGGGGGGAAACCAGAAATGTGGTCGGGGGATGGCAATGCCATTGTAGAATGAGATGCCCTGGGCATAAAAAGGGAGACGAACATCCCACACATGTTTACCTAGAACGAAGTCTCACTGTGTTCAGTATGTTATTTCCACTAATATGCTAATTTTTATACAAACTTCGTCTCAATAAATGCATATTTGTAGACATTGTTTGGTTGGAGAATTTTGATTAGTACGAATTTTGAAAGATGACTGTGTTTTGGTTCTCATTTTATTTCGGGAAGCGCAAGCTTTAGAAATTCACCTTTAAATATGAACTGAAATTAATTTCTTCGTGGTCCCTGATGTCTGACTGTATTATGCCAGATTTCCTTTATATTATGATTGTTGTTTTTTTATTGCTGTTATCTGTTTTTATGTGTTTATTTTTATGTGTTTATTCAGTGGTATTTTTAGAATTCTGATATGCGCCTTGAGAGTTCAAACTGAAATGGAAAGGCAGTATGTAATGGTTTAATAAATATCATCAGCCTTAATATGCATTAATGGCAACTTGAAGATTTCCAATTACTTCCAATATTATAACAGGGTTTTGTTTTTAAATACTTACTATTATCCAGGTAAAACCCATCTGGGCAGCTGGTAACACAATTCCTGGACTCTTCATTGATATAGTAACCAGGTTTACAGGTATTACATTGATCACTGTGGCTTCCAAAACATGTTTCACAGTTGGGTGAGCACTTTTTACAGCGTTTCTTGTCGGCGCTGTAGTGACCAGGAGGACAGTTGGGAACACAGATTCTTCATTGTACAAGATAATAAAAGACTGAGTCAGAATTATCAATGAATTTGGCAGGAAAAAAGCAACTGCGTTGATTAGAACAGTGGCTTTCCTCTTGTTTATGGAAGCAGAGACTACAACCGGGATGGCACAAACCAAGCCAGGCTCATTTGTGTCCAAAGCCCTGTTCGGCTGTCCTCACACGATAAGGGAAGGCAGGCTCACTGAATCTGCTTCCACTGTTACACCCCAATTACCGGTCCTGCTACCCTCCACTTTGTTAGAAGGCAAATGGCCTAGAGCAGGCCTGTAGGCTCTTGTATGATCAGGTTTAAAAATGACAGAGGGACCCTCGGCATGTAGAGCAGGCGTCCTTCTGCAGATCTTCAGTCTCTAATGAGTGGAAGGGAAGAGACCGACTGACATCAATGCATCAGAGAGGGTGGGCTTACCAGGTGTGCCCCCATTCTCCCCTTACCAAACCCTAATCACATGAAGGCTCAAACACCTGAATATTGTGTCTAGATAAGATTCCTCACTCGCTTTTATCTTTTGCCCATTAATTGCCAACCCCCTTCCTTAACATTTTTAAAAGTATTTCAGTTTGTATCCTCTCTTTCTGCATATAGAACCAAGGACAGTAATATCAATATCATCAATATCAATACAAATATAATAAAACATTTGTAAGTCAACCAGGATTCTTAACTAAAATAACATGGTGGGCAGATAAAACCTAGTAAAGACACAAAGCCAAAGGCTTGTCAAAATGAACAAGTTGTCACCTGAAGGACATCTGACATGGCGCCTAGTGGGCATCTCTAGGGAGGGAGTTCCACAGCTTAGGCACAACCATGGAGAAAGGTCTTTTCTCATGTCCCTCCTCATTCTCAGATATTGGCAGGATTGAGAGCAGTGCCTCTCTTGGAGATCTCTCAGCAGGCTTGTATGGGAAAGTCATAAACTGGTCTCAATACATTTAGGTTGGAACCAGCACTTTGAATTGTTCCCAGAAACAGAAGTAGTAATTTAGGAATCACATGCTCCCTATATAACTTCCCCCAGTTAACAGTTTGGCTCCAGAAATCTAAATTGGGTAAAGTTCCAAACATTGTTCCAAGAGTATTCCAATTATATATAACGAAGGCATGTATATAGAACCAAGGCCAGATCTGACACCTATAGGAATGGGTATAGTAGGCACACCAGTGTGAACTGTCCAAAAACCACGGCCAAATCTGGAGATCTAGACTTATGAATAGATTTAGAAGAAAACTCAAGCTATGAACCTGAGCCTTCAAGTGCAGTGTAAGCAAATCCTAGCATGGTTGAACCCTTATTCCCTGATCTGCCATTCCAGTCTTGTTTGGATTAAACTTTAATTTGTTCATCCTCACACAGACAGTAACGGATGCCAGACACCGATCCAGAACTTGTACCGAGATAGAAAGGAGATGCATGCGTGGGACGCCATCAGCATACTGATGACCCTAAACTCCCCAAACTTGGACGGCTTCACCCAAGGAAGCAGAATAGAGCCCCAGGAGACACTGTAGGTCAATGGCCAAGGCATCAAAAGGAAGTCTACCAGCTACATGCTTTGGAAACTTTGCTCCAGGAAAGATCAGGACTACCATAAAATGAGGGTCCTAAGTCCCATCCCAGCCATGTGATGTGTTGTATCTGTTTGGAGAAAAGTAATAGCAAGTGAGGAAATAATATATTACCTCCCCCTACTTCTTTACTCCAAATTTCACATCCTAAAGCTGCAGGTTTTGTTTTTTTAAATACCCTGAATCACTTTTAATATGTGCTTTAATGTGCACACATTCATGTAACATATAGTTAGTCTCGGAAGCCTACTGATGCTGAAAATGTAAAAGTATCTTGAATAAGAATTTTGCTAAGATTCAAACTGGTTTGTCAAGTAAGTTAAAGATATTCAGTATAATCTAATAATTTTGTGGGGCAACATACTGTCTTACCGCGTGTTGTTCTTAGATTTGTAGTAGTAGTGTAGACAGTCATTGCAGTGGTCTGGTCCTGGGCCACCACATCCCACTTTGCTGCACTCTGCATTGCATGGACCTTTGGCGAAAGCAGCGGGAGGGAGAAAGCAAATCACCATTTGTCTTTACTTCAAAGGAGTTGTTAGAAACTATTTGGTCTTATGTATTTGCTTTGGAAGTAAATAATAATAAAATAAATCAAAACTGGAAATACGTATTGTGGGGAATTTTGGATTTCTGAACCAGACTGTGACTGATCTTTAGCCAGAGTCACTATCCAAGGTTTCTTGAACCAGGACATGACATTAATAGCATTAATTAAAAGCAAGTGAAAAAGGGACTGCTAATCTTTTACACTAGTATATTGGTGGGCATATTTGAGGCAGACACATCTGAAACATTCTGCTTCATATTACCTGCATAGTCATCTGCCCCATAATCTTCTGTAGGGTCTTCTATTGGACTTGAGCGTACTCGTTCGGCTTTTGGGAAATCATTTCTTGGGGAATAAGGCTGAACAGAAGTACCATAAAGTACTAAGGACCATTCTTTCAATTTACCTAGGTGAGGCATATGAAAAACATGAGATATGGAAAATACTTTTTCTAAATTTATTTTCTATATTTGTATCATAGTCTGAGCTATAAACAGAAAAAAATGTAACACACATTTTAATAGTTATAATTAATACTAATAACACCAATACAAAAAATAAAATCACTCCTTTCCCCACCTGAACAAACCTGTCAACAATGGCAGCATCAGTATTAGTGCAGGAAAGAAATTACTTGGCACCACAATAACATAGGCCTTAAAATGTCCATTAAGCAATGTTAAGTGAGATTCTTTAGTCTTCTTCCATGTACGTCCCAGTTGTTTTCCAGTGCCACATAGGCAAGCAATTTCCTACTATCCCCCCTCCTGCAGTACCCCACACTCTTAAACCTGCTCCAGAGGGCTGGAGAACCCTCTGGAGAAGATTTAGAGAGTCCAAGAAATTCCAGGGGATTGGGAGGATAGCTGAACCTCTAGCAGGGCTGAGTGGCATGCAACCCAGGAAGGAAATGGCAGGGGGAAATTGTCATTATTTTCCAAAGTGAGAATACAGTAAGCCCACAATTTACACACATTTAACTTGTACACATTCAAGCTTTACATGTTTGGCGAATCTATATATATCTGTATTTACACACAATATATATATATATACACACACACATACATACATATATATAGGGTGGAAAGGGGACAGGCATCTAGGAAAAAAAGACTTTGGTAATCTTGCCCACCATTAAACCCAGTGTGTCTTGACTATACATGATTTGCCGTGATCCGCAGAACATAACCCCCCGCATAGGATACACATCTATTTTCATTCTACTACTCCTACTATCCTCCCAGTGTCTCAGCTGCCAAAACTTATAAACATGCATTAAAATGAAATGTACCAGAAAAATGATTTTGAAGTCACCTCAAATGAAACAGGAACATGGAAGTGCAATTATTTTTTTAAAAAATTATATCTCTTTCTAGTGTTTGTAAGTAGCTTTGAGTTCGTTTTTTTTAAAGTGACTGATAAATATACTACTACTACGAGACTTTTCTATCACTGGAACCTAAATGCACATCACTAACAAAATTATAAGATTTGTACCTGGAGTCTTGACGTTTCTTAGCTGTGACGGGGTATCATAAATTTCCAAAATCCAGTCACCAGCTGCTTTTTCACCCCAGCAATGAGTTGTCATAAACTCCCAGCTTTTAAACCCTTCCATGGAATGGTCAAATAACCTTTTAAAGAAGCCAATAATAATATAAACTAACATAAAAATACAAATACAAGAACAAATAGGAACATACTTTTGCACAAATGTTTTATATTATATAAAGTAATATTATTAAAGAAACCAGGCAAGCCCATAAATCCAATTACAGTAATGGATCCAGTTAAAATGTACATTGGAGTTCCTGTCTCTAACTTCCAGGAGAAATGGATGCAGGGTTATTCCCTCATTGCAGGGGGTTGGACTAGAAAACCCTTGGTGTCCCTTCCAACTCTATGATTCTATAGGATGCTACAAAAAGAGCCTGGGAGGAATGACACGACATGAAAGTGGGAGGCTGCCAGAGCGTGGACAACTGAGACCAGCCTATCCTGGACCAGGAACAGCTATAGCTGGTGGTCCAGCTTAAGCAGGACATAAGCACTCCAGTGGCAGCTTGAAATTCAGATGCAACCCTTCCCAGAATAGGTTGTACACCTAATTTCCAGACATGGGAACTACCCACCAAAAGCACCTCCATCTCAACAGGATTCAGCTTCATTTTTTGGCCTCCCATCGAGTCCAACACCTTCTCAGCCTCTCCTAATTCTGATGGAATGGAGAGATAGAGTTGCATGTCATCAGTACACTGATGACACCATGCACCCAATTTTCACATGCCAGCTCCCAAGAGTTTCATATAAATATTAAATAGCATAGAACAGTGGTTTTCAACCTTGTTGAGTCCACGGCTCCCTTGACAAACCTCATTCTTTTTGGGGCTCCCCCGTGGAAGCCACTTATACTGGGGTTCTGTTACAGGAGATGCATAAGTGGGGATTTCTGTGAGGAAATAAAGTTCTTGTTTTGTTCTAAAAGTGCCTCATCCTTATTTAGATTCGCTGGTTGAGAATTAATTGGTCACAAGTTCCCCTCTACATACAGTAAACGCTACCACAGTTAATAAAAAACCTCTGTTGTGGGAATACAGGAAAATATTTATCAAATAACACACCTATAATAGCAGTCAGGTTACCCATCTTCAGTGTGGGTGTGTCTGTCACACTTTCCTTCACCACTTTTTTGGGAAATATTATATAAACTGCTCAAATCTCTTTATTTTGTAACACTGAAAACTTTGGACTACTGAAACCTGAGACCTTTGGGCTGCTGACAATTGATTTCTTTTTTTTATAATCCTTGAGTATTATAAAACTTGAACAATGAAATTAGGGAAACCAACAGTAATCTCAATATTGAATTTGAATGCCTTCTTCTTTATTAAAGGCCCAAGCCCAATAACTTTTCTGCTGGCCCCACATCTCAGGCCCCTGCTCCTTAAAAATAAAAATAAAAAAAATTCTTTCAACATGAAGCTTTTGTTACATTTCTTACAAGGTTGATTGGTATGCTGCGAAGTACAGTCGTACCTTGGATCCTGAACGCCTTGCGACTTGAATGTTTTGGCTCCTGAATGCCGCAAACCCGGAAGTGAGTGTTCCGCTTTGCAAACATTCTTTGGAAGCTAAACATCTGACATGGCTTCCGTGGCTACCGATTGAGTGCAGGAAGCTCCTGCAGCCAATCAGAAGCCATGCCTTGGTTGTCAAATGTTTTCGGAAGTCGAATGGACTTCCAGAATGGATTCCGTTTGACAACCAAGGTACGACTGTACAGTACTAGTGAGTCCTGAGCACACACTATCTTAATTTGCTCAGAAACTACATATGCAATTTTTATGCAAATTTGCACCACAAACCTGTGTCAATTCCCCTGATTAACGGTATTTTGCATTTTGCCTTACATACAATAAAAATATAGGGCCCTGGAACATTGCAAAATTGCTATTCTTCTTTAAAAAAATGAGTCTTTTTCATACTGTTTTGCAGTTTGAAAGAAACAAAAGTAAATGTTTTCCCCACATCTCCTTACTGGTGCTGTTGTTTCCTAGTCTTCAGCAATACTTATTTCCCCAGAGCCATAGAATCTATTTATTTTTTTATTCACTGCCTGCCTGGCTGGAATGATGCTAATACATTGGAACAGCACTTGTTTCTGTCAATTATATCAAGAGAAACACTCAGGGCCTTTTGGAGGTTTCATCAACATCCAGTTCAGACAGAGAAGTTGGGGCGTAGGCTATACAGCATTAAAAATGGGTAGAGTACTTTTTAGAATTATATTTTTCACTGGAAAAAAATAGAATGGAACAGTGGAAAGCAAGCATCTCATAAAAAAACAACAGGCTGAAGGGGAGAACAGGGCATTTTCCTTGTTTGCTTTCACAGTTTGATCAAGAGCTTTCAGTAATTCAGTGGATGGTCAGAGTATCTGCCATGCTGGATCAGTCTAACGTTCCCTGGACTCCAGCAGGGGCTGGCAAGATATTCTGAGGAAACTCAGAAGCAGGGTGTGGGGGCCCTCCCGCCCTCCTGTCCGCCCACAGGATCGGATTCTCAGAAGTATATCGCCTCTGAAGATGGCATGTTCCATTTCTTGCAACTGGGGCTGCTAGCTGCTGAAAGTTATTTTCTCACAATACTGCACTAAATAAACCATAGTTTAGGGCAGCACTAGATCTATTGAGGTTAAGCTATAGGAAGGTAGATTTTGGTTTAACATCAGGAGAGACATCTTGGTAACACGTGGACGATGGAACCAATTGCCCAGGGATGGGGATGGGCCACCTCCACAACAGCTCCTCAAGGAGACGTTCTTGCTCTGGAATTCCTCCACTGAGCAGGGGCTTGGGCCAGATGGTCTTAAAGGTGCCTTCCAAATTTATGATTCTATGAGTCGCACTGAAAGTATGTGATCCCTGTCCCTTTCTAAGCTTGCGTTTTCCTCTGTTCTGTCCCTTGAATATCCAGTCTAACCACGTGAAAAGGGAGGTGTTAACTGTCATAACTTTTACAAACAATGCAAAGACTCCAGCAAATGACAACGGAATCCAACCAATACCTAAAAGCAAACACTATCATTCTCACTACCTTAAGGTGTTTTTTAAAATGAGTAACCACTATTAAAAATTGAAATATTCATAGACAAAACCCTAACACTGTCTGATATAATAGCTTAATTGTCTAATAAAATGCACAATGAAGATTCGTTTATGTTTTAAGAGTTCAAGTGTTAAATACATCTTTGCAGTTCAAGCAATCTCAATAATCGCTTCCAAATCAAACCCACAAGATTAATGATGAATCAATGATTTTTCTGACTTCAGTAAAAACATGTGAATTGCTGCTATTAATCATGTGTATCCAAGGTTCACTGTGTCTGAAAAAAGTGTCTGAGTCAGTAGCAACACAGCACTGACCGAGGAGCGGGGATATCTGCTGCCAAGGCATTCTTGAAGCTAACAACATGCAACAATGTTTTCAAGCATTGCTTATCCTATCCTTCTTGCATTTTTGTATTCAAACAAGCTCTTTTCTACAGAACAATGATGATGCACATTTTCAACGGCAGCAACAGACCACCACATTTATTTTCAGTTACAGTGGTACCCCGCAAGACGAACGCCTCGCAAGACGGAAAACCCGCTAGACGAAAGGGTTTTCCGTTTTGGAGGCGCTTCGCAAGACGAAGTTCCCTATGGGCTTGCTTCGGAAGACGAAAGCCCAAAGGGAAATCTCCGGGACAGCGGGGAAGCGCCTCCGCTGTCGCCCGCCAGCATTTTAAAAAGCCCCGGGACAGCGGGGGACTTCTCCGCTGTCCGGGGCGATCTTAAAATGCTGGCGGGTGGGAGCGAAGCCTCCGCTGTCGCCCGCCAGCATTTTAAAAAGCCCCGGGACAGCGGGGGACTTCTCCGCTGTTCCGGGGCAATTTAAAAGCCCCGGACCATGCCCCGATGCCGGGCGGCGGGGCCGCGAAGCCTGGGCGCGCTGATCTCGGCGCGCCCAGGCTTCGGCATGCCGGCATCTCTACGCAAGCAGCGGCAGCGCTGCCGTTGCTTGCGGAGAGGTCCGCGAAGCCTGGGCGCGCTGATCTCGGCGCGCCTAGGCTTCGGGATGCCGGCATCTCTACGCAAGCAGCGGCAGCGCTGCCGTTGCTTGCGGAGAGGTCCGTGAAGCCTGGGCGCGCTGATCTCGGCGCGCCCAGGCTTCGGGATGCCGGCATCTCTACGCAAGCAGCGGCAGCGCTGCCGTTGCTTGCGGAGAGGTCCGCGAAGCCTGGGCGCGCTGATCTCGGCGCGCCTAGGCTTCGGGATGCCGGCATCTCTACGCAAGCAGCGGCAGCGCTGCCTTGCTTGCGGAGAGGTCCGCGAAGCCTGGGCGCGCTGATCTCGGCGCGCCCAGGCTTCGGGATGCCGGCATCTCTACGCAAGCAGTGGCAGCGCTGCCGTTGCTTGCGGAGAGGTCCGTGAAGCCTGGGCAGACAGCTTTTGAAGGCAGGGGGGGAGCAAAGACTTTCACCCCCCGCCAGCCTTCAGAAGAGGTCCTGGTCCTCTTCTGAAGGCCGGCGGGGGGCAAAAGTCTTTGCTCCCCCCTGCCTGCCTTCCCGGGAGAGCGGAGAAACGCAGCGCGTTTCTCCGCTGTCCCGGAGGGCTTTTTAATGCAGGCGGGGGGAGCAAAGACTTTCGCCCCCCCCAGCCTTCAGAAGAGGTCGGGGGACAGACTGTCCCCGGACCTGGTCTGAAGGCGGTTTCCCTAGGAACGCATTAATGGATTTTCAATGCATTCCTATGGGAAACCGTGCATCGCAAGACGAAAAACTCGCAAGACGAAGAGACTTGCGGAACGAATTAATTTCGTCTTGCGAGGCACCACTGTACTTAGAAAGAAAATAACCTTGTAAACATTATTTTTGCATCCTTTTAGACATTTTTAAAAGAGCATACCAGAAACAACAACAACAACAACAATAAATTAAATTTATATACAGCCCTTCATCCGAAGATCTGAGAGCAGTTAACAAGATAAAAATACAAGATAAAAGCACAAATAAATAGAACAAAAACAAAACAAAACAAATCCTCCCAAACACATTTTAAAGGCTGTAGAATATTAATCAGCCCAAGGCCTGGTTGAAGAGGAATGTTTTCGTTGGTGCCTAAAGATGTATAATGAAGGCGCCAGATGAACCTCCCAGAGGAGAACATTCCACAAAGGGGAGCCACTGCAGAAAAGGCCCATTCTCATGTGGCCACTCTCTGGACTTCTGATGGCACGGAGACACAAAGAAGAACCTCAGATGATGACCACAGGGTCTGGGTCAGTTTATATGGGGAGAGGGGTCCTTGAGGTATTGCAGTCCTTCAAAGGAAAGCATGGGGGTGGGGGAGACACTGATGACCTACCTTTCCAATATTACTTAGGTAAAGGTAAAGGTACCCCTGCCCGTACGGGCCAGTCTTGCCAGACTCTAGGGTTGTGCGCCCATCTCACTCTAGAGGCCGGGGGCCAGCGCTGTCCGGAGACACTTCCGGGTCACGTGGCCAGCGTGACATCGCTGCATCAGGCGAGCCAGAGCCGCACACGGAAACGCTGTTTACCTTCCCGCTGGTAAGCGGTCCCTATTTATCTACTTGCACCCGGGGGTGCTTTCGAACTGCTAGGTTGGCAGGTGCTGGGACCGAGCAGTGGGAGCGCACGCCGTTGCGGGGATTCGAACCGCCGACCTTTAGATCGGCAAGCCCTAGGTGCTGAGGCTTTTACCCACAGCGCCACCCGCGATATATTACTTAGCATAACCTTAAAATAAAACCTGCCAATTACCCCTGAGAAACATAGGGCAAAGTTTAACACTTCTAAGTTGACTTAGAAGTCATGAGCATAATTCTTTCCCACCAATACTTATCCATGTATTGTTTTCAATTTGAATTTATGTACTTGATGCAGGCTGAACTTTATGTACCTTTCTTTTTATTTCTCTATTTTGTGTATTATCTAGACTTGGACAGAGCCAAACAAAATGTACTTTAAGGCTTGCAGAGCCAGCGGATTAGGCCAAATGTAACAGCTATACCAAAGCAAGATCACAAAATCTGACATTCTGCTAGTAGTGAAATGATGGTGCTGTAAGCAAGTATGCTAACTGAGGCTCCAATCCAAAACTTTTCATGCAGCATGTTGCATGCATAATGTGGCTGTCCTGTCCCCTCCTCCCCATGCATGTCTGTGCACTCTTTAGAGCTGATCCTAACAGCTGAAGAAGATTTTGGATTTGATATCCCACTTTATCACTACCCTAAAATGTCTCAAAGTTGCTCACAATCTCCTTTCCCTTCCTCCCCCATAACAAACACTCTGTGGGGTGAGTGGGGCTGAGAGACTTCAGAGAAGTGTGACTAGCCCAAGGTCACTCAGCAGCTGCAAGTGGAGGAGCGGGGAAGCGAACCCGGTTCACCAGATTATGAGATTAACCACTACACCACACTGGCTCTCCAGTTGAGAGACTCTCCAGATCAATATGGGACATGCAACAGAGAGAGGAAGGAATTGTCAGAACTTGGGAGACTTGCACCAAGTTGGGAGACTTGGCAACTTGCACATGTGGAAGTGTCACCTGCTCAGAGGTGGATTTAGGCCAGTGTAACGGGTTGTGCTTCACTGGGCGCAGAGTCTAGGGGAAGCCAAAGGGTGTTGCAACTATGATGTAGTGAATTGAACAGAATGGAAGGCGAGAGGCAGGGGTGCAGAATTTTGGGCTTGCACAGCGTGCCACTGAAGTTTGAAGGACAAAAGTTCACCCATGACCTGGTCATGTGAGAGCACTAGCTTACAACTCTGGAGACTTAGCTGAAAAATTCCTCACATTATGCAGTATTAATTCTAAAGCAACAACAGCCCTAGCCAGACCATTAAAATTAATAGACAAGCTTTTTTCATCATTTCATTGACTCAAACCCAACCACGATTATGCTAAAGGATTCTTGGGCCACTTGTCCACTTACCCCAGAAAGCAACCTCAAAGAAATCAGAGTTCATAAAATATCCAGTTAGACGCTCTTGATCAGCACCAGAACTCAAGAAAGACAGACAAGATCAACAATGGAACTAAAGTTTATGATAGTATCATGTGTGAAACACTCAGGTCAGACATGACAGGCTGGAACATCCACTCTGGCATTATCCTTGTTTTGGAAGGAGAACTTTAACAGCACGTCATTAGCAGCTATTCCTCCATCAACCATTGTCTTGCAATATTGAACTTGTTTCACTTCCTCTGTATTCTGCAATGATCTCATCCCTCAAGGATTTGTCAAAATCTATTGTGCCCAACGCTAAAGATTACAGCCTTATTCTAGCGACTGTTGATATTAACAGTGGCAGCAGATCTCCAATTCCACTTCATTTTTCTCTCTCTCCAAGACATGAGTAGCTAAGCGGTTTCTCCAGTTGCCTTCATTTAAATTGGGTACACCCTGGACAGTCAACCCTTATTGGACTGAAAGTTGAATATGATTATTATACCTGTTAGCCAATAGTTGAGATTTTGTTCCAGAAGGAGAAGTCAAATAAATTGCCAGGTCACCTCTCCGGGGATGTGTGACGGTGATGCGCACAACGACATGTTCCAGGTAGATGACATGGTGATTGGCATTATCTGCGCAGCCTGTCGCTTTGTATATTGAACGGACACCATTATCTGGTCCATTACGAATATTATCTGGTCGTATTGTTCTGTTTCAAAGACACCAACATAGTCATGGTCTCCAGTGAATACTACAAATAATTTGTTATAAATCACTTTTATCCTTGAACTGTGTATTGAATTTTGGTGATACTGAAATAGGCTTAAGCAGGACTTTTTTTTTTACATGCCTGGGTAAGCTTAACATTCTATTCATTAGATGAAATCAATTATACCCTCACTTAAATAGTACCACAGGCTAAAAGATAAGCATCACCACAGTTAACAAGAAAGCCAATTAGTTTACAGAAATTCCAGATTCCAGAAAACAATTTATATTGTCTTTCATATTTTTCTATTAAAAATTATTTGAGCTGTACGAGTAGCCTCTTCTGAAGGCACAAATGAGAGATGATACATTTAAGTCACAAGCCACCATACGTGTCCCTGAAGTCTGGTTCATACAACCGTGTTGACCAAATGATAACTTTCACACGCAGCTTGATATTGTGAAACAACAGAAATTCCAGATTCCAGAAAACAATTTATATTGCCTTTCATATTTTTCTATTACAAATTATTTGACCTGTACGAGTAGCCTCTTCTGAAGGCACAAATGAGAGATGATACATTTAAGTCACAAGCCACCATACGTGGCTTGTGCAAGATACATGCACTATGATGTATGGTAGATTCCATATCATGTTAAATCAGTAACTATCCTTGGAAGTGAGCTTGTCAAAAACAAAAGTTATAACCAGGGCCACCAAAAAACAAGGCAGGCTTGGAGAGGTGAAGGGTAGAAACAGCAACCAACCCCAAGGTGTTAGAAGCTCTATACATTATTAAACTGGTTTCTCTGCCAAATATGTTCTAGTTTACTTTTGGCTCAGGCTTTTATAAGCCTCTATGAGGCTGTCATTATAATTTGATTGGAATTATTAGATTTAGGCCTGATAAATACCACGTTAGACAGAAAAGTTGAGACAGGAAACCTGAGATCCAGACCACAAATAACTTTTGAATTATGGAAAGGGAGGACTGCAGCAGAATTATGTACAAAATTGCCATTGCTGATAATATCCTGGGGCATTGTCTCTGTGTCTGCATGGAATGCATAGGGAGCACAATGCTGTGAAGAAGCAGTCTATTGAGCCCCACAGGGACCTCGCTGTGTATGGGTACAGCACCCGTACGGTATTCATCAAAGTAACAAAGGATTTAATTAAAGTAAAAAAATCAGTCTGAATGGAAACTTCATAAACTGACATTCACAGAACAGCAGCACAAATATCCTTAATATATTTCTTTATTCAAAAAACAACTGGTATCATACCTGCTGCAGTCCTCCCTTTCCCTGTGTGAGCTCAGTGAATGCAGAAGGGGGCAGGGATTTATGTTGCACCTATTTTCCTCTAGTCCTGACTTCCATGAATTCAACTGCAGGTCTGAGCAAAGCACATGTATGGTACAGACTGCACATGCATAGACTTCCCTGATCATATAGCCAGAGCCAACATGGACTGGGAGTGAGAGCTTAGATCTTGGACCCAAACCCAGAAACGTTTGTGAGGTAGAAGTGTACTGAGTGCTGTCACTAGATGGATTCCTCTCAAACGTCTACATATTACAAAGCATATTATATTAATGATATAATTTGTTATCTAGTATATCAAAGCTAACCAATCGATCCAGAACTACAAAAAAGAGGTTAGGGTCAACAATCAAACACATGGAAGAAAAGGAATGGCACGGCATGGTGCCTAAAATGTAAAAAGGTGCGTCTCCCAGGTGAGAATGTTCCACAGTTGGGGAACAGCAGCTGAGAAGGTATTTTCTCTGCATCTCTACCACCCAGAGGAGAAGCTAATTGCTGACTTGGCACTTGATCATATTGGCTTGTTGTGAGTCTCACAGGCTAACAAGGCCCTGGCCTAGGGACCATGGTTTTTATAATATGGTGCTATTTTCAATGACAATGTTGGCACTGAAATAATAATTAAAAAATGAGTTATATATGTGCTTTGATTTGTAAAATACAAGCACAAAATTAAGTGTTCTGCCAAGAATCTCAGAAATCTTCAAATGCCCAGTAGGGAAAAAAATATGTTTGAGAACCATTGCCTTAGGATTAGCTTACAGAAAACCAAACCAATACAAGCTGCAATGTGCAGCCACAGTAAATATATATGCATGCAGATGTGTCAACAAACGTCTTCAACAAGCATTACTTGATTTGCCGATCTGTATTTTCAACACACACATGCTGTGGAGGGACTGTTGTCCACTTTTCTGCTTCTATCACCATGGCTTCAGCATCCATCAATCCAAATCCATATAGGTGGCTAACTGCAAAATATAAACAGAATTGTTTACAATTGCAAAGTAATTGTATGCTCTTTCATAGAACACAACACACATTACTGCTACATTCCTCTTAATTCTCCTCCCTCACCTAATTGCCAAGAACCATACTGCCAATCATATCTAAATTCATTGTTCAATTGTTAACTGGCGAAGTCAGATATGGGTCTGATTCACAGATACATGTGCAATCAATTTCCCCCATGTGATTGTAATGTAATTACAGAGTTTGTGGCAGCTGGAAAAATTGCAACTAAGATCACAGAAGTGACTGCCTGCAATCTTTGGATATCACCTGGTTCACATTAACATTTCTGTATGTGGCTGCATGCCGAGATAGTGTTTAAACAAAAGTGTGGCTTGCAGAATGATAATTATAGAACGGCAATGTTTCTGCTTGGATGCATCAACCAGACCTACACCTGAGATTCTATAATACCAGAAAGCAATAGAAAAATGCCTGGTGGAGCACATGTGTGTGAGTCTCTGTGGGCAGCACTGCCCCACCTTAGCTGGTGCTTTCCCCAAGCTTTTAGAATGAAATGTTGGAATGTTATAAGGAGTAAAAGCCATAATCAGAATCCACAAACACCATGGTGATGTGGAATTCTGAATATGATACAGCATAGACTATAGTATAGATTTATACTGTAAGCTCTTTTTCGCTTTATTGAAGCTGAGTTTTGCTTATGTTAGCTGTATAATGTATCACGCACAGTTATCATGTGCTCTACGACTCATAACTTTCAAGGCAATTCAGTAATCCTTACTGTTAATTTTAAGCATTTGTTGATGGAAATTATCTATTAAACCATGTTAGAATTGCATACATAGTTCAGCTAGCACCCTGATTCCATCACACTCTTCAAGCTATGGTAGAAAAAGCTACCGTCCTATTGGCAACTTGATTTTGAATGTATTTTATTTAATAAGTCTATCTTTTTACTCCTGAGAAAAAGATTACCACCCAACGTTGTAGTACCCACATTAACTTCCCATGGCTGATAGACAGTACACTTAATGTTTCAGACCTTTACTTTTGTGATGAACAAAGAGTAGCATTAACATGTGCCCTGCCATTTTAAACAAAAATGCATACACACAAGTGATTTAGACCCTGCCAGCCAAATCAAAACAGCCTCAGTGGTGCTATTATGGACGTCCATGTGCAGCCATTCCAGACAGCTGATATTTGGCTGTCTGCGATGCTCACACTTCAAAGGCCCCAATCACATGGATTTGGCTAGCAGCTCTAGGTACGGAGACAGGCCCATCATTTTCACAGACTAAATAACAGCAATTTGGGAAAACATTACAGAGTTGATAAAACAGCTAATCCCCTACATCTTGACAAAAAAAGATGTGCTTACTCATGTGACCACACCATTAAAACGTTATCCATTTTTATATGTTTAAATTAGAATTGCTACTGTTGCTGAACCTGACATTATCAATTTCAGGAGCCTCTGGCAGTGCTATAAGATTCCTTTCAGGTAACATGTTAGAAATGCAATTGCATTAACAACTTCTTGGGAAAGATAATGGGTGGGATATATACTTTTATTTATCATGAACTGCAAAGCTCTACCTGAAAAGGCTGATGAAATACTGTCATTTCTGTGCTACTAGAGGCCACCACAGCCTCTCTGCTGCTCTAAATACATGTCTTTATTATGTTCAGGTGTACTTTTACATCAATGTGAGTACTGTAGCAAGGGATCTCATTGTGAGCTAAGTAGCAAGGTGACCTGTGACTCACAAAAGCAGGGTAGAAGCATGTGGAAGACAGACACCTGCTGATGCAGTTCTCAACTAGCTTGACTGTCCAAAAGAAGTAAAATTTTTAGACTGTTTAGGTATTGTAAACGAGGGAAATATCCACTTACTTTAAAGAATATTGGAACTGTGCAGTTCTGAAGCCTAGTTTTTCTCTAGACTACACAGAATGGTCCCCTGTGACAGTGATGTAATGCTACATTTTGAAGTGAAGGAGCTCATCACGGCAGTCCCATCCGGACTCAGGCCAGCCCAAGGGGAATTCACAGCTTCACCTCACCTCCATTATGCAATTGTGCAATGAAGTATTGCCGAAGTAGAAAAGGAAAGAGCTATACAGCATCTGCTTGATTATTTCTCTCATTCTTTGACTTTTGCTATGTTCCTCTGCCATAAAGAATCGTAAACCCTGAAAGCCTCACTTACACCTCACTTAGTTGCCAGAGCAAGGAAAGTCCCTCCATCTTTTTGGTGCTCCTGCTATGAAAAAGAAGTCCCCAATCTGTTCTCCATACCACCGGGTATCAAGTATGGCACAAGGAGACTGGATACCCATATCTCCCTGCCTGAAATACTGGTGCTTTGCAGATCACAAACCTGCCACAGGGATATGGAGATGTTTGATTTGGGGAAAGAGCAGATCAGCTTCTTGCTCCCTCCCCCCATAAACTATGTCCTCACCCCAACAAACCATTAATTAGTGAATGTGCTAGCATTGCTTCTCAGTAGAGTCCTGGTGGGTTACAGGATCTTTAGGAAACTTTGAAGATGTGCTGGGAGGTGTAACTTCAGTGGTTTTGGCAAATCTATAGATTTAAATATTTAAATCTATATATTTAGACTATAGTATTTAATCCGAGAAGGGACCCTAGTCTTGCTTGGGTTATTCCTACACAAGGGATTCACTGAATCGCCATGGGATAACAGCTGTAATACTGTGATTACCATTACTGCTAATTTATTTATTTGTATGACTTTTCTTCAGCAAAAGGGTTGCCAGAGTGGAACACAATATTAAAATTACACATAAAACAGCTAAACACAAAACTGTCATCCTGGATAGATAATAAAAACTCAACCAATCAGCAGTTAACATCAGCTAAAGTTATGTTGAAAAGTCTATGACCTCTAAACAAACAGGTCTTTGCCTGATGTAGAAAAGACTGCAGGTACCTGGGGCTGTGTGATGTCAACGGTGTGTGTGTGCACACCACAGGGCATGTGGGGCATGTGTGCCATGTCATCACACCCCTGGCGTGCTGACATCCCTCGTGCATGTAGCAGAATATGGCGACATAGCATGTGCACATAGAGGGGCCTGGTGATGTATGCCCCATGGCGTGCATGCCCAGCTGTGCTGCGCTTGTGGGTGCCTGGCCCCCACATTTAAAATGTTGTGTGAACCACAGCATGCAGGGGCCCCTGGGACCTAGCGCCTAGGGTTGTAAGCTATAGCAGATAGAGATCAATAGTTCTGAGGCCTACAAAGAAAGGACAGAAAAGGGATGTTCCCTTGTTTTTGCAAGAGAGTGAGTTTTTATTAATTATTCAAAAAGTTGTATGAGGTGAAGTAGCAGGTTGAAAAGGAGCCTTGCAGGACACACTCCAGTCTATTAAGCTTTCTGTTTCTATTAAAGCACACTATAAATAAGCAGTTAGAAAATAAAAATGTAGTTTTCTGAGCTGAAAAAATGAATACTTAGAATTCATTTGGCTGATGGGAATTTAAAAACACTGTTTGATAAATAGTCATAGTGAATACTAGCAGCCCATTCTCCAACATGCATAGCTGGAGCAAATATAAAGACACACACACACACACACACACACACACACACACTCTCATTTATCTCCCATTACTGTGGGGAGCAATGGGTGCATTTCTAGCTCTTTCCATCTGTTTTCTGGCTTGAAATCGGTAGGAGCAACGGCTCTGAGGCACAGCGTTGCCATGCAAGCAAGTTAATCAGCCCACTGAAAAGGCATGCTGACCCACTTTCAGGTGCCAGCTCTCATTGACTCTTTGTTGAGTTTGAGACTCCTTCAGGTTTTTGCTGTTTTACTCCTCTGATTTCCCTTTTCAAAAGAAAGGCATTCTTTCCTTTTCCCTACTTGCTTCTTATTCATTTTTTCACAGAAAAAGGCAGTTCTCCTGCATCCTGTGTTACAGTGAAATCCTAAACGTGTCTTCCCAGAAGTGTCCCACAGTGTTCTATAGAATCCCTAGGAAGGTGTAACCAAGAGTAATCATGTCTACTCAAAGTTAGTCCTACTGAATTCAATGGTGCTTACTCCAAGGCAGGTGGGGCTAGGATTGCAGCTTAAATCAGTTTTAGAAGCTTGCTTCCTTAATTTTTCAAATAAGCCTTAGTAAGAACATGCCATGGAAGAAATATGTTTCAGCCATCAAGAGAATGATGGTACATTTCTACAAGAAACTCAGTCTGATCAGAGTAATTCATTCTATGAAAAACAGGCATTTAATTGTTATTCTTGGCTGTAGTTGAGGACAATAGTGAAATATTACACGAAATATTGCCATGTGCAATAGTAAAGTACCGATCCATTCTTGCCAACAGCAGTGTGCAATTCTCCCCCCTCTCACATCAAATTCAAAGTTGGATATTGTTATTTAATCTAAATCATTTGCTTTTCCTTGATCCAAAACTAACAAGAGGTTTAGAGAGAGCTACAGTTTTATTGGAACCATTGCTCAGCTTTCATTGCCAAACTAATTTACTTAAAACTATTCTTTTTATTTGGGTTAAAGTTGATTCCTCAATTCCACAGTGATGGGGGCCATTTAGCTTTCCCCCTTTTCCAAATCCAACATGAGGTTATAGAACAATTTTGTTAGGTCACATTCTGTTCTCGGTATCCCTTCATCTATGGCATTAATCAGGCAGTGGGTGTGTGTGTGTGTGTGTGGGTGTGTGTGTGTGTGAACCCCACCCTAAAATATGGTTGACATATACCAGATGGCTCCCAAAAGCAGCTTAAAATAAAAGACACAGAATTACTGCAAGTGCATATGAATATTGCAATATTTCACATATATACATATTGACAAATACTGTAAAATACAATAGATTTCATAAATTACTGCCACTATGGCAGAAAACATGACAAAAATAGTATTCTAGATATTAGCATGTATGAGCACATACAGAAAACAAAATGTGATGCAAAGAATTTGGTTGATTCCTGACAACCTATTTATTCATCCTGATATGTTTGCACGAAGTTTGCTTGGTTAGACATCAGCTGTTTTTTGAACATTCATTCTGATTTGTTTGCAGGGTTATATGATGCTGTGCTAAGCAATTGTTACTTCACTCTTTACAGTGCATTTTCCAGTCAATTCCCCTATTGCAAAAGGTCTGATTGGGTCCTTTTTTGGGGGGGGGGGTTGTTGTTCCAAGAACTCTAAATCAACTTTGTGCAATCTGAATCTGCCAGCATGTGAATGAATCCCACATGAAAATAGTGCCTCAATACCCCACATAATATGGCACCGTGTACTTTCCTCTGGCCCTGCCATTTTATATATTTTTGTGCTTATGATACCGAGCCAAGATAGGGCCCAGATGAAAAAAATATGCTCAGAGAAAAGTAGCTGGCAAGTCTTGCCTGATGACATACATCTGGGGTGGGGAACCTCAGCCCTGGGGAGCAAAGGTGGCCCTCGTGGCCTCTCTATCCAGCCCCCAGGACATTCCCTCGGCCATGTCTCTTCCCTAGGCCATTCCCCAATTGGCCATGCTTTGCACCTTCCTGGCCTGTTTTTTGCGGGCTGGAATGTGTCCGGAAATGCCTGCTGCTTGCCTGGATAGAGGACGTTTGCATGGCTGGACTGTAGTCCACCAGGCAAAGGTAAGAGTCCCGTCTGTTGCTCCACCCCCTTTTTTGCCTGACTTCACCCACCACTTGCATGCAGCCCATTTTAGTTTTATTGTTTTCAGGAACCAAAGGTGAAAGGGTCATATTTCCTTCTTAAATTACTGCATATGCCTTTTTGTTATTCAGAAATTAAATATCCATACAAATTGCATAAAGGAAATATCTTATAAGCTTAGAAATATTGTATTGGCAAATATTTTCCCCAGGACTACCATTAAAAAAACAAACAACTTTCTGCAAATGTGGTAAATGATGTCATTTATTATTTTGGCACAATGGTGGCATACAGCTAATAGTTTACATCTTGAAGTTTGTTGGTGCACTTGAACTTGGAACTATGTGTTAGCTTCCTTTGTACTAGAGATGGAGAACTTGTGGCTCTCCAGCAGTTGCTGGACCCCAACTCCCATCATTCCTGTCCATTGCCCGCGGTGGCCAGGGCTGAGGGCAGCTGGAGTCCAACATCTGGGCAGCCACAGGTTCCCTATCCCTGCTTTATACCATGATCCTAAATATATAATATAGAAATACGTCTAACTGATTTCAAGGAACTTACTTCTAGGTAAGGGTTGTTTTGATCACTACTTTCAAAAAATCATAATGTTGTAAATACTATGCTAAACATCAGGCTTAAAAATCACATTTAGGCTTCCCAGCCTAAGAGTTAGCTGACGAGCATTTTTGTCTCCAAAATCAACCTATATTAACTGTTCCAATCAGGTTTCCTCTAACTTGCATATGGCACAGCTACATGATACAAGTGGCTGGTAAAGCCACAAGGAGGCAGACTTCCCAAATGTTTGACCTCATGGTCTTGTTTATCTTATTAATCAAAATAGAATAGCTCTAACTGGCAGGCAAAGCGTATGAGATTTTTCTCTTTTGGAAGGTGGAAAAAAGGGTTTGCAATGATGAATAGGAAGGGAATACTCACCCTTGTAACCAGCCCCATTGGTTTTCCAGTCATTAGCAATCAGATGCCCTGCCCGTGAAGTCCTTACAATGATATGCTGTATATCTCTCCATGTCAGTAGTCGACTAGGGAGAAGACAGTGAACAGTCATTTTACAACAAAAAAATAAGAAAAGCCCAAGGAGGAGAGGGAGGGGGTGTCTCAAAGCAAAGGACAGAAACCTTTCTCAAAGTATTCAAGCCAATATACAGCGTTAAAAGACTGCAATAAATTTCAATCTTCATAATTTTCAGGGCAGAAAAGTTTTTACAAGCATGAAGTGGTTCATAGTTAGAGGAAGAACATCTGTCTGTCTGTCTGTCTGTCTGTCTATCATCTATCTATCATCTGTTTCCTGCTTGGCAGGGGGTTGGACTCGATGGCCCTTGTGGTCTCTTCCAACTCTATGATTCTATGATCTATCTCTATCATCTATCTATCTATCTATCTATCTATCATCATCTATCTATCTATATCTAACATCTATCTATCTATCTATCTATCTATCTATCATCTATCTATCTATCTATCATCTATCTATCTATCATCTATCTATCTATCTATCTATCTATCTATCTATCTATCTATCTATATCTATCTATCATCTATCTATCTATCTATCTATCTATCTATCTATCATCTATCTATCTATCTATCTATCTATCTATTATCTATCTATTAATTATCTATCTATTAATTATCTATCTATCTATCTATCTATTAATTATCTATCTATTAATTATCTATCTATCTATCTATCTATCTATCTATCTAATCTATCATCTATCTATCTATCTATCTATCATCTATCTATCTATCTATCTATCTATCTATCTATCTATCTATCATCTATCTATCTATCTATCTATCTATCATCTATCTATCTATCTATCATCTATCTATCTATCATCTATCTATCATCTATCTATCTCTATCTATCTATCTATCTATCTATCTATCTATCTATCTATCATCTATCTATCATCTATCTATCTATCTATATCATCTACCAATGGTTCCTAAACTACTTTCCCCATCAACCACTTGCTGATGTCTTGGAGGACAACTTAATGATCTCCCCTGACCCTGACCAGAGAGCGATGCCAGTGTCACACTGCTGATGTGGAGTCTGCAGAAAATCCCATAATGGGGCATTCTGGGGACAGAGAGCAGTAGGGGCCATGCCGGCCTCACTGCCACCACATTACAGTGTTCCAGACTGGTGCAAGATTTGCCAGCACCCTGACCTTTGCTCCCATCTAAAGTGAATAGCATGGCTCCAGAGGCTTGTGGCTTCATTAAACCCTGCTGGGTAGAGGCTGAAATTCAGATTGCACTGTAAATCTCTAGAAAAACTGTAACAGAAGAAAATAATTGTTTCTTTTATTTATTTAAACAATTTACAGAATGCTTAACTCTGTAGTGTCTAAATTGTAAGACTACTTCTCTGTCCAAGAGCACTGAAATAATAGACAACTTATGGTTGCTTTCAGGTATAACTGTGGTTTCTGTTAGCAATGGAATTGTGAGCAACTACTGATAGTCTTGCTGCCCTTTTCCTATGCTGAGTCTGCTAATACATTTGAATTAGCAGCAATCAGTACAGTTCATGTCCAGGTTATCCTTGACTTTCATGTTAGTACATCAATGTGTCGATCACCCACAAAAAACCCCACAAAGATTGGGGGGGAAAAATCCAGTCTCTAGAAGCATCTGAGCAGTAAAAAGAATTGAAATAGTAATATGGATGAGATTAAGTTGTCAGGTAAAATAACCATCCAATTCCCACAGATAATTCAAAAGGTTTTTTTGTCCAGCTCCATTTTGAATAGAACCCATATTCTTCCTACAACAGAATTAACCTATAGCACTGGGACAAATGCAGCTGTTGGACACTTTAAAATAAAACACATAAAGATTTTCTACTATACTTCACATGCAATTCCTCAAATATTTTTTAATAATAATGGTAATATTATATGCATTCCAATCCTACAACTAAGCAATAAAATGTACCATAGAAGATTCAAATAATGCTTGATTTCACAAATATGGAAATTAAACAAAATAAAAGTAGGAAATGAAAGCTCAAGTACTCATCATTGCCTGCCAAATTTCTATCTATAACTGCTTGACTATTTGTTGGTGCATAAATGCTCTCATGTTTCCACTAATACAAATAAAAGTGGCTTGGAAACATTTCCCAAATCATCAAACTTTCAAAAAGGTGAACTGTGAATATTCTGGGAAGACACAAAAGAAGTATAACTTTATGCGCCTGCTATTCAAACTACAGTGCTGAATTTGTAATTTTCCTAATCCATTTTAATATATTCCAGACAACATGGTCTGACCAAGACTTTAGCTTTTTGAAACATTGGATGTGTAGATATGTTATACAAAAGCAAGCATTGCCATTCATTATTTTCTGCTGTAGATTAAATCTGTGAGATTTTCAAAATTCAACTTGGTCAGGAGAAATAAGTGCTTTGTGTTGCTGCTGAGGAGAGTGTGCCACTTCGCTTTTAGCTATATGCATACAATCAAGATGACAAACTTCAGATTCAGGGAACTAGAAATGAAAGTATGAGGAATCAATGCACATGCAAACATTAATGCAAGCATTAAAGCCTTTGTGTAAAACTAGATTCCCCTAGGCAACAAGGACATTGATTCCACCAGTTCTTCTGCACTCACTGATGGGGGCTCCCACTCTCTGCCAGGTTCAGACTGGAAACAGAATGAGGCCATGAATATGCATACTAAGTTTATGATGCTAATAATTTCCAGGGGAGATGTTGCAATAAAGTACCTGGGGTTAAGTACTTAATTCGTTCCGGAGGTCTGTTCTTAACCTGAAACTGTTCTTAACTTGAAGCACCACTTTAGCTAATGGGCCTCCTGCTGCCGCTGCGCCACCGGCGTGCGATTTCTGTTCTCATTCTGAAGCAAAGTTCTTAACCTAAGGTACTATTTCTGGGTTAGCGGAGTCTGTAACCTGAAGCGTCTGTAACTCGAGGTACCACTGTACATAGGAGATATCACTTATTGCTTTAAATATATAAAATTATCTTTTGTTGCTACAAACTAGCAACACAAATGCCAAAAATTAAAGCATAGGCCTCACTTTGACCAACAATATTTATGTGTTCAAATGCAAGATTTTAATAAAATATTTTCTCTTTCCTATGTGGTATTAAACCAAATCCAAACAATAATTTGTTATGTATTGAAGTTCTCACCCTGGCCACCAGGAGTATCGTGTATATAGTTTTCGCTCAGGTCCACGTCAGTTACTTTAGGCGGGAAACCTGGGTTGTTGTTGCTATAATGTTGACAGCCGGCTGCGTATAAAAGCAGGCCGGCTGAGCTGTTTGCTGTTCAGTTCTGTTCTAGCTTACAAATAAAGAGCTGCTTTGGAGAAATCGCTGGTTAGATTGTTGGACAACAGAGCACAGCCAGACGCAGCCACCCTCTGAGATGAGCTGAATCACAGAGCTGAAACACTGAGCGAAATCACGGAGCAGAACCAATTCAGAGCTGACCGTCTGGCCAGAGCACTGTGTTCCATTCATCGCCCTCCACATCGGCATCAGAACCATGGCTTCGCTCGTGCCTCTACCGCCGTTTGCCCCAGCCTCTGAATCATGGGACTCCTACTTCGCTCGGTTTGACTGCTACCTCCAAGCAAATGAGCTGACAAGAGGGTCTGTAGAGCAGAAGCGGGGCCTCTTCCTCAGCCTTTGTGGCCCTGAAGTGTTCGCGACGACCCGAGCACGGGTTGCGCCTCTAGCTGTCCAGGCAGAGCCGTGGGACACGATTCAAGAGAAGCTCCACAACCACTACGCGCCAAAGCCGTTCAAGATTGCTGCCCGCCATGCATTCTACCACCGGAACCAGGCAAAGGGGGAGTCAATTAACAACTACACCACCGCCCTCCGACAGGCTGCAATGTACTGCAAGTTCCGAGACTTAGACGATGCCCTGATGGATCGAATCGTCTGCGGGGTCCGGGACATCTGTCTGCAACAGCATCTCCTCGCCAAACCAGACCTCACACTGCAGAAAGCCATTGAGGAGGCCGTGGCCTCAGAAGCTGCTGAACTCTCCGCCCAGGAAATCCACAAGGCCAGTAGCCCGTATTTAAAAGACTATGTTCACTGGACAAACTGCACATGTAAAGCTGTATGGTGAATAGGGTCAATTAATATGCTTATGTGCCTTACTGAAACCAATAAGGGTATTGCTGTATGTAATGGAACCACTATGATTGTAAGGTAAAGGTAAAGGTACCCCTGCCCGTACGGGCCAGTCTTGACAGACTCTAGGGTTGTGTGCCCATCTCACTCAAGAGGCCGGGGGCCAGCGCTGTCCGGAGACACTTCCGGGTCACGTGTCCAGCGTGACATCGCTGCTCTGGCGAGCCAGAGTCGCACACTGAAACGTCGTTTACCTTCCCGCTAGTAAGCGGTCCCTATTTATCTACTTGCACCCGGGATTGCTTTCGAACTGCTAGGTTGGCAGGCGCTGGGACCGAACAACAGGAGCGCACCCCGCCGTGGGGATTCGAACCGTCGACCTTTCGATCGGCAAGCCCTAGGCGCTGAGGCTTTTACCCACAGCGCCACCCGCGTCCCCACTATGATTGTAACTAATGCCTTATCTCGGTGGGGAGGGGTGTTATGTATTGAAGTTCTCCCCCTGCCCACCAGGAGTATCGTGTATATAGTTTTCACTCAGGTCCACGTCAGTTACTTTAAGCGGGAAACCCTGGGTTGTTGTTGCTACAATGTTGACAGCCGGCTGCCTATAAAAGCAGGCCGGCTGAGCTGTTTGCTGTTCGGTTCTGTTCCAGCTTACAAATAAAGAGCTGCTTTGGAGAAATCGCTGTGTCGTCTGCTATGTCTACCCACTATTTAACATAATTTCCCTAGTGAATGCTCTTATTAAATATACCTGCAATGTGCCCAACACAAGGGGAGAAAAAACACTTATGGGAATGAGCTGGTTTGTGATCAAAGGTTTCCCCCTCCCCTTTCCCTTTGACCAAAAAAATCAAGAAATGAAAAGCAAATCAACACTCTTG